AGGTGACAATTTCATTATATCACGAAGGGTCTCTTGAATATGATTCGAATCCGGTGCGAATGATAACACATAGAGACCAGAGAAGGAAATGATCTGGAAGACGGCTCACCGACTCCGAGTACAGAGTCGCGGCTTTTACGTATTATTGATCAACAAAGGTAGATTCGGGGGGGGGGGGNGGGGGGGGCGGTGGAAGGGGGGCAGGAAGGGGGAGCGTCTCGCCTTTATAATACAACTCAATACCCGCTGGAGCGGTGCTGCATCGTGTCGACGACCCGCGGCCCTGTCCACTTGTTGACACCCTTAAGCTAAAATTGCGTAATTGATTCCAAGTTCAAGGCTCCGTCTATGATGCCGTCCTGCCCCCGAAGCCGGAACACCGGCCCATCAAGAGCCTTGGACATTCCTCACCCGCATTTTGTGAACACCACGGGGGACCGTGGTCCCCCTGGCCGCTACGCGGCCCAACCGCCCGTGAGCGCGAAGTGCTCCCTTTGCAGGGGCAGTAAAAATCAGCCATTTTTCGGGAATATGTAGGAAGCTCGACTAGAGATTATTACCTCATTACTAAGTATTATTATTATCCCAGGAGAAATTAATTTAAAATGTGTCAATAATTCCCTGGATTTAACTGCATAGAGAAAAAAAAGGAGGTGTTTGCATCTTGAGGTTTGTTTACCCTGTGACGTGGGTCGGTACAACCTGGCCAGCGAAATCCGGAATTCGAAATATAAATAACGGACCATAAAGTCCGATTTTTTTACTTAAATCAACTCATAATATAATTTCAAGCACTTTTACAGGATGAATTTGTTCCATAAATCACACCATTTCCAAGAAAATCGATGATAAAAGTCGCTGTGCCGACCTACGTCATCAAAAAAATTCCAAGATGCCCGAAATGCAAACACCTCCTTTTTTTCTCTATGATTTAACTGTGACGAAGAAGTGTAAATTTGAGTTTGAAAGAGCTGATGAAAATAATGATGTGACATGAGAATGAGAGGGAAGCGCCGCAATTCTCGCTAATTCGTCACGAGATCGTGGTCGTTGGAAAATGCCCGACAAAACTCTTGGAAAATTATCAGAACTTGGCGAGAAGGCAGGAAAATTCGTCAGGGACTTTTCTTATGTCCCCTTGTGCCTAAGTAGTGAGCCCCAATGGTGTAAAACATCCCTCTTAAGAAAAATTGAAATTTTGTCAGTGTCCCGTCCATTCCGACCCATTGGAATTTTTTCTATGGTCGCTTTCCCTCCGTCCGTGGTTTACTATTTACTAAAAAAAAAAGAGAAGAAAATTGAAGAAAAAGCCTGCTTTCCTCAGGCTTTTATACCACAATCAGTAGAATAGTATACAAGCCTCTAACTTATTGTTAGTCTTCTCAGTATATGCGACCATTTTTTTCACTCCACCCAAAAAACACGCCATTTCGATTTCATCTCAAAAATCGACGGTGAAACTACCAAACCACGTATCTCGGTTTGCGACGTCGCAGACTCCCTGTCATACTTTATTTTTTAAATGAAAAACTACTTAACATCCAGTCTTGAAAATTTCTGTGATTTTTCCTCTATGTGCGGAAAAAATTCCGTGAAAATTTCAAGGAATGATATTGATTTGGTCTACTTCAAAAAAATAAAATGTGAGCGTAGATTTCTAAACACCGCAAACGAGATACGTGGTTTGGTAGTTTCACCGTCGAAATGCGTCACTCTCCGAAGAAAGTTAGCTGAAATAACATTGTAGAATCCATGTCCCCACGTGTGAATTTAAATGTGGTGTCCACCAGACGTGTTTGTTGCATCACCATCGCAACGTTGCAACGCGGAAGACTGTATGGAGAGCATCTTGAGAGACAAATCTTCTGGTTGGATCGAGCAATTTTCCTTTTCTCATTTTCCTTCCACCCCTCCTCCTCTCCCATTTCCAGCTGCGTGCTTCTTTGACTCATTGAATTTGTGATCTCGTTCGTTTCCTTCTCATCCCCGCCATTCTCTGGTTGGAATGAATTATTTGGCGCATCGCTTCTTTTTTGCGATGGTAATTTAATCTATATTTTTTCCCGCAGTCAAGATAGTGATAGAACGGTAAACAAGCAAAGAAAAGTATTTGAGATTCCACACTGGCGCTATGAGCAATATCGTGTCTCTTATGGTGTAAAAACGTATCTCGATTTCCGTATGAGCCCCAGAAAGCATTGATTTATATGTAAAATAGGGTTCACGTAGAAATTTAGGTACGTCGTTCTGTCAGAGGGGCGACAAAATGAGCGAGTAAGGCTAAAACCACTCGAGTGGGTGCATCATTCGGAGTGCAAGAAACAAAACTTACTGAGTTACAGTGCCTTCAAAATCATACTATTTCCTCTTTGTTTGAAATTTACTTGATATTTGCACGAAAAGAAAATGTATGCGATCGTTTTCCTTTAAAATGAACAATTTTTAGGTATAAAATCAGAAAGTTTGTGTATTTGTTTTTCCGGTCATTTTTGTTCAGAGAAGGATGAAAATGCACGATTTTTGCAACACTGTAATCAAGCCTGTTCCCTTCTGGTCCAGTTACACGATCAAATTGAGCCATCAAATTGAAGCTCTGATTGGTGGAAAAAGACCTGAGGTGAGGATGCGACCAATGAGAGGCCCAATTTGATGGCTCAATTTGATCGTGTAACTGGACCTTTCTGTCGGATACGTTCCATTTTCCAATACGTAGAAACACCAACGCAAATCCTCGATAGTTGACGTTGACTGATAAATGTCGCGCAAATGAATTTGAGGAGGAAGTTTGTCAAACTGAATCTTATTTCCTTACATGCCACTCGTCTTCATGTGAGGATGGGTATCAATCCTCGAAATTCTTCTGTGAAAAGTCTTTAGTGACAAGATACTTAGGCGAATTTATGCATGGGAAGTATATCCGCCTTGGGAACCCCTCGTGCGTTGACTTTTTTTTAAAAAAAATATTCTTTGTTCATGGACATCAATTAATTCATTACTTTTCATCTCCGTATGAGCATCAAGAAAAGCCGGAAATTCGGACAATTTCCTAGGCTTGCAGTGTCGCGAATTCCCATCGATTTTCCTGACACACTTCTCCAGCGCCTTCGACATTAATAAATGAACGACCAAACTTGGCAGACGAGGTAGGGTCCTTAGTTGCGTTAATCTTACGACAATGAAGCCACGTAAAACTTCGACCGGCTTCGCTCTAATTAACTTGGACATTAAATCTAGCCTTGGCGGAATAATTGCGGAATGCATTTCTTCGGCTAGGCATTGATTGGGAGCATCCTTCGATTCTGCCCGCTCTTTTTTCGTATTTCGTCTTCTCCACTCCAAAACCACAATAATCGATTTGAAATGCACTATGAAATCATCATTAATATAAACTTCGAAGGATTCTGCCTTTTTCTATTTCACTCGAGGGGAAGTGTCCCCTCCCGGACTCTCTTCCCCACCCGGTGACTGACGCTGCGCTGTGCTGAACGGTTCAGCCTGAACCTTTCCCCTACGTCTGACCGTTCCCNTATCTAAATATAATTTATATTTTGCAACTTCCGTGCAAAGTTTATCAAAAAATCAACCGTTCAGTAATTTTTCTCGACATTTCCAAAAGTATGAAAACGCATGCACACGATGCACTACGTTAAAAATTAGTTTTTTGTAAAAACACGCATGGGCAGATCAGCGTGGAGCCATTTTGGTGTAAATATTTTCACCTCTTATAATTCTCTTTGTGAAGATGTTTCGCAAAAGTCGATAAAGCCCAACCGCAATTGGTAGTTTCAGTGTGAGATATAGCTGTGTGAATAAAACATTTTCCGCGTTTTCTCTGTCTGACAAGCTACAGTGTAAGAAATATACATAGTCCATGAACCCCAAAAGTTGGAACGGTTGAAAAATGTGGGTAATCTTTAATTTGAAGCGTGAAGTGTTTGGTAGAACATTCTGAAGTGAGTCTACGTACGAGAATCATGTGGAAGTAGGGAAACTCCTAGTAATAATTTTCTGGAATTTCTGATGGCTAAATTGGTCCAATTTTAACGTTTATTTTGAATTAGTGGCTCTCAAACACTTTTCTACCATTAAATTCTCTGTTAGTTGCCCTTTTCACACCCAATTAAGTGATAACCACTCGAGCTAATGAGTCACTGAGAGCAAACAGAATATCCTCTTAATTTTAGACACGTGTACGTGTGACTGATAATTCTTATCACCAGTTTGTTTTTGTCATTAGGTGTTTTCGGCGTTTTGAAATATTCAATGTTTTTCTTTTTTTCTTTCCTGAAGAGAACTTATTTTTGGGTCAAGGATTGAAATCCGCACTGTTTGAAGAAGAAAAAATATAGTATGAGGACAGAAACAGTTTCAGAAGTCGTTAGAATGTAGCTATATTAGACTCTTTGCGCTTTGCAAAGAATGACAATCAAGCTTCACGGAACACGTTTTCCTCCTCTCTGAAAAGTCGAAATGTTAATCACAGAGTTCTATGGCCTTTGAAAGTGAGTGTTTTTTGATACGAAGAAGTATATTTCTAGAGAGAAGAAGTGAAAGTTACTGAGAAAAGGACTCAACACAACCCACGACGTATTTACTGGTAGTCTGCAAACTCATACGTATTCATTTTAAGCGTCTATACAATTATTAATACCCTTAAGTACTTGAAACTTAAGAGACTTTACTACTTAAAATCGTTTTGTGACATAATAGGAACAGTATTTTGGGTATCATTCCGAAAAATTGAATTCGCAACTTCCTGGATTTACTTTCCCGCCACCAATATTAAAAATGATTATAAGGTAATATACGCGCGTCAGATAATACGAAATAATTTGTTTAAAAAATTGTAAATTTGAGTACACGTGTTGGAGTACCGAAAGTAAAGGCTTCCTCCATTGCCAAGATAGCAACGGAGGGTCTGTTGTCTGTAGTATATGAATTGTCTTTAAAATATTTATCTTTGCTCATTTGTATTTGAATGTTGATGGTTTTTGTTGCAGGAGAAACAATCGGCGAGCCAAATCCTCGGCTGAAGAGGGGATTCTTCCGAAGTTTTTGGAAAAGGTCCCGCCACTATTCTTTGGAGCAACAATAGCCTTCGCTTAAAGCTGCTCCTCGATGCTGGCATAGCATCATTTTCTGCCGCTGTAAATAAAGGAGCAGCTTTGAGCTCAGCTTGCGTCAGCGCGTGCATTCTTCGCGCCATATTACTCGGTAAACCCAATCAAGTCATCTCAACCCCGTCTTGGAATCTTCAATTTTAAGCCGTTGAATTTGTACAGGACACTCGTGTGTCTATCTGTAGACTACAATTAATATTATTTTTATTCTGTCCTCCCGCTCCAGCCTTTGCATAATGTGTAATCCAGAATCCTTTCCATGATGTCGCGCAAGATTATGCAAATGTTAACCTATCGACTCTATTTAATGAATAGTTACTCAAATCGGTGCACTATCAATTTTTCTATTTTCTTCTTTTCTAGTCGCTTTATTTAATTTAACGGAATTTCTATAAAGTGAATAAAACTTACACCCGTGCGTATCATAGTTCTCCCTCCTTTTTTACGAGTAATATTTTGATTTACTTTTTTTTTATTCAAATAAATTATGTGTTTCTAACTACCATGCACGCCAATACTAAGTTGAGCGAGAATTTTTACGGTCAGTGATTAGGTATGAACCAAGATTTAAAAGTTGTAAACCCTGAGCTAAATGTCGAGTTTATGCATATTTCCATTCAATTTGATTTGTCATTGTTTTTATACCGTACATTTCATTGCATGAAAAAGTAGGTGGTGTTGAAAGTTTAAGATCGATACACTTATCCCGTTATTTTTTTATTAATCCCATTTTAATTCTTGGTATTTTCTTTCTTTTTTGAAATTCAGTACTTAACTTTTCAATGATGCCTTTTAATACTGTCATCTTATCGTTATTGACGCATGCAATTACATTTGCAGACTAACTGAACTCAGGAATCACGGTGAAATCTTTTGCTCTCTCTCTCTCCCTCCCCTTCTCCCCCTCCCCAACTTTTCCTTCCCCCGTAATCAACCTCTCTCCTGTGCTCTTTAGCCTTCTCCCTTTTTCCATGAAAGGATGATGAAACTGCTTGAAAAAAATACATAAAAAAACACTTACCCTGTCCGGTACTAAAACTTAGGTATTATTGTAACTGAAAATGAATAAATGAATTTCGTAATTTTTTTAAATATTTAATGACTGATTTTGATGTGCCATTTCTTTACTCTTCTATATTAACTTTCACTCGCTACTTAAAGAATCACAGGGTACCTACTTCATCTTACTCAATTTTTGAACTCGCACGATCACTACTTAACTGCACATCTTGACAATATTAATCCTTAGGGGAACAAATATTGTGTGATTTACTTGAAAAGTTGTCTTAGGAAACACTGCATGTTTTTCCCCTCTTATTCTCAAAATTGAAGTAGAGCGAAGTTGTAAAACAACGCCATCTAGGCAATGTTTTTAAATACCACGTATATCCTTGAGACACTTAAGTTCTCTCTTTACCAGTCTTTGCACCAATATTGTTGGTCTTTTATATCATCAAACTTATTTCCATGCTCTCACCATGCCACTTTGCACTTTTCACTCCGTCTATTAGTCAATGACCACAGGAAAGTTAAGAATATTATTACTATGCATTTTCCTCGTTACGACTTCTATGAGACTTTGCATATCTGAATGTTTTTGTACCTAAGTAAAAGCGTATTTCACAGCCTCAACCCGAATAGATAAAAATTGCAAGAAAGGCAATATAAACAATTTTCCCACTAGCCTAGATTTTAAAGACCCGCAAAATTTTTAGCAACTGAAAGATCAAAATCTGTACACTCGGGAATTATGTCTGTCTAAAGTCATCGGCAGTGTAAACTGGAAATAATTTTCTACTTTGAAGCATGTTATAGCTGATTTTTGATTCGAATACTGTTTCGTAATGTCACGTAATCATGAAAATTTACTATACTCAGTTACTTTATTATACCATAATTTTAATTAGGTCCCTATAAGCATTAAAAAGGCAGCATCTTAATGCAATGCAATGAAATGGAGAATATAGGCGTAGCAGAAGGTGTAACTAGGAATTTTCACTGACTCAAGAAGGTCTCTACTTATAGGTATATCTTTCAAAGGCGTAAAATGCGAATTTTTTTTAACTAACCTTACTTCGTAGGCACATTTCAACTGTAGGAATAGTCCCCCTTCCCCCATTCACATCAAAGTGAGATGTTCCTCATTGTCGCTCTTTGTTGAAACCTGTGTACTATTCCTGCAAGATTTAATCACATAGGTCTGTCTTTTTTCAAAAATGACTTCATTTTTTAATTAATTTCAATCAGTTTTTTTATTACTTACGGCATTGTATGCTTTTTATTGTTATTGTTATTTTGTAATTTAGATCTGATTTTATGTAATTTATAATTATTTGATATTATTTGAAATTTGTTTTTATTTCCCATTCCTCATTAGCTTTATTTTGCTCCGACGTATGACAAGTATTCTATAAATTTCAACCTAATTTTTTGCTTAGGTCATTACTGAAAGTAAGAAAATACCTCCCCACAAGGGAATTTTGGAATTAAGCAGAAAAAAATCATGTTTGATCCGTCACTATAAACTGCAGATCAAAATCCAAGATATCAAAAATGTGTCACTAGACGCATTTATACCTTTTTTATATTTCAAATTGAAGATAGATTTCGAACCTGAGGGACATGATTACTATAAAATTTTGAGACACTTTTACGGTGCATTGAAGGTCGCTATTTTTAAGGATACTATTCCCTTTTCGATACTTAAATTAGTTTATCTTTAAATTGAGGAAAGTTTTGAAAGATTTAGTTCGTGAAGTACCAAATTTCGAGGTTGTTTCAAATATCCACCTCGCAGTCGATTTTAGATCCGTAAAAAATTAAGTTCCCGTCGGATCATTGCAGTGGAGCGAACAGCTTTCTATCCTGGGCGATCAGAATCACTGTATGTGCTCTAATTTTTGACACTTGCGGGGAAACTAGCTATTGGCTGGTTACCGATCAATACTTGGCGTAGGAATTGGGATTGAGGCCACTTATCTTTTGAAATTGGAAGAAAGAACTAGGTAGAACTTGGAGGAACTAGGTAATTGAATCTTTCAAAGATGAAATTCCAGGAAAACTAAGCATGAAAGACAGATCAATTTTGAGATGATTTGCGAGTATCAATAACGCCTCCCTTGTGTACTTTTTAGGCCCAACAACCTTATTTGTCGTAATAAGTCACAGCAGAATGTTAAGTACACATTGACGTCCCAACCCTCAAGGAATGGGCGAAATCAATCTTGAGTTGAGCCGTTTATCGTCGGTATATCTCTATCGATCACCAAGGAAAGGGTAGTTCCACCTTACCTTGATATTTCATCTTATGATCGCTCCTTTCAATACTGCTACAAATACAAAGGAACTGATAAATAACGCAAGCAGACACACACTTCTCGGCAATCTGATGGGAATTGCAAGCAATACTGCCATACTAAGGAAGAACGCCGTGTGAACCTTCTGGCGTTGCCAAAGTTCCTTTGATAAAGCACGAATTTCCTGGTAAACTTCTGAATATTTTCCTTCCAATTTTTCAGATAATTTTCTTCGCAATTTAACATTAAGTTCTCGGATATTTCGAGGAAAAATATTCATAACTTTTCTTAATAATGAACATTTTACCGAAGAAGAAAATTTGGCAACTCTCGAATGTTCATACGGCGTTCTTCCTTAGCACGGCAGAATAGAGTGAGAGAAGAAGAGCGTGAAGATAGTGCCATAAGGAACGCTCAAGCTCTTCGAGAATTTCTCGACTTCCAAAGCGAACTAGTGAAGTTGTCAGTGATTAAAATCCCAACTCTGTTACCTGATAATGTATTTATCTCCATGCTATACATTCTATCCAAGTTCAGATGAGCGCATCTCGCATTGTGTTCAGTGACCCCAGTCAGTCTGGATCCCGCCGCGTGGAGCGTCGCGGTAGCCGACAAGCCGTAATCATTTGTTAATTGTTGCTGTAATTATTCTTCTACTCATCTTCCCCTCCTTACCTGTTAGTCCATGGTCCTTAGGCTCTGAATAAGTTACCATTCCAAATCAAGTGTTTACCAGGAGGAACCGAAATGAAGCCTCTGCGCTCTTGAAACAGACGACGCACAGTGGATCGAGCAGGGTGTCTGCAAGTCCGGAATTTCCGGAAAGTCCGGGAAAAGTACCGATTTTTTAAGGGCGGTCCGGAAGTACTGAAAAAGTTTGGAAATTCCGCAAAAGGGTCCGGAATTTTTTCATTTTTTCGTCATTTTTGTCGAAATTTAAGCGAGGCATTCAAATTTTTGAAATTTTTCGAATTTTGTCGAGTGGAGGTACTAAAAAAGTACTAAATTTTTCTGTTGAGGAGGTACTAAATTTCTTGGAATTGTACTGAAATAGCACGGTAAAAGTACTGATATTTGGCCAGTCTGTTTTAGTAGACACCCTGATCGAGTCAATCAGAGAGGTCGGACATGAAATTTTTACTAAAACCGATAATTTTGATGTTTATTTCGTCACATTCCAAATTACAAGGGGTGGTTTTTGAAGAGGGAATCAATTGAATCACTTTTGAAACCTCAAGTGCATTTCTGAGGAGGTGAGAAAAGCTGAAGTGCCTTCAATTCTGAACATGCAACACGCACAACCGCGGAACAAGAATAGTTGCATCAAAGTGCCGCAACCTAATCACAATCAATGTTGAGATAACCACCGATTTGAATCGGTCATTCTCATAAAGACTCGAGCGCCAGAAATATGAGAAAAATACTAAAAAATGTTTTAGGTGACCCGTTCTAAATTTCAGAGCTTTCAAATATTCAAGCGATGAATTTTTTAATCGCATTATTATAGAATCTACGCTTTGTCGAATATCATAAATTCTATTTTTTTTTTTCGTGTATTTCCGCACTTCTGGCGCGTAAGTCTTTCTAAGAATGACCGATTCAATTACTTCCCCTATAGATTCTCTGGCCTCGTGTCCGGAATTGGTTATTGCGTAAAGTGGTACAAATGATGAGTCTCGTGCATCTTTGAAGAAGTAAGACAAACGAAAGTGCCTTCAAGTTTTGAGTATGCAACACGCTCATCTGTGGAACACGAATAGTTGCATCAAGGCGCTACAAGCAACTCACAATCAGTCTAGTCTTTATTTTAAAGCAGAAATGCCTCCAATTTTTGAAAATGCAACTCGCATATCCAAGATACTGAAAATTCATAGTTAACAAACCATAATCCCCCCCCCCCCCAAATCACTCCGACGGTGAAAATCCACAACCACGTATTTCGGAAAACCCGATTTTTCAGGAGAGCAAGAAAAAACTGTCCACATTCCATATCCTTGAAGGTAGAAGGAAAAGAAAAATTGAAGACAGCAAGGACAATATTCTTTCCAAGACTTAGGATCAGACATCAAATTTGAAAAAAGAAAAAATCTATGTCAGGGATTTTTTTTCTTTTTTCATCAACTCGTCGTTTCCTTCACGAAAGAACGTACCTACGAGTACATTCCGATAGTGCCAATATCCTCTCGTAAATAACTTTTTTATCAAGAGAATCTTGGGATTTTCTAGTCGAAAATTTCATTGATTTTTTCTCTATTCTTATGCAAAAAGTAGACAAAGGGCAAAAATCACGTCGGCATATTCCTGTAAAATATTGGATTGTTTGAGTCAATTTTGCAACCATGGAATGGAGTTACGATCCCTCATGAGGGAGGCGACGAACTAATCTCAGAAATCCCGAACCAGGTCAAAGTGACCCGATCATCACTTCTGAGGGATTTATGGTACCGGCGCTTACGAGCTTTCGCTAAATATATAACAACCAAGTCCGTTGAGTTGACCCGACACAAAAAAGTAACACGAAGTGCCACAGAGTAACACCAAACACGGAACTTTGTATGTAGAGCGGAGCATTGCGAGGTTACGCCCCGCGCCATCGCGCCTTCAATTTTGTAGACGCAATCCGGACATCCATCAAGTACGAATAGTTGTATCTCTGCGCCGTCATCAACAAGCGTTCATTTTACCACTTCTACCTTGTGTTGATTTCATTCGTAGTTGTGCTTCAAGTTCTGTATGTGAGCAACACAGCCGAAGACAGGAGAGGCGTACTCGAGCCTCGTCTTTTAACTTTTGCCCGAATCTGAGAGAGCGACTTCTCATTGGCAGCATAGAGCGGAGCATTGCGAGTTCACGCCTCGCGCCACCGCGCCTTCAATTTCGCAGACGCAACACGGACATCCATCAAGTACGAATAGTTGTATCTCTACGCCGTCATGAACACGCGTCCTTTCTCTCACTCTATCTCCAGAATGGGTTTGTACCTTTCGTCTCATTTGCAAGGATGCTTCGAGGTCTAAGTGAGCAATACAGGCTAAAATAGGATAGGAGAGACCCAAGTGAGCCTAGTTTGTGAACTTTTTCCCGAATTTAAGCGACATCTCATTGGCAACATAGAACGGAACATTGAGAGTCCACGGCTCGCACGCAATCGTGCCGTCAACTTTGCATATCAACGGTGAAATTCCCAAACCACGTATCTAGTGTTGCGACGTTGCTTACTTCTAGTCCTACTTAACTTTTTTAATTTTAAAAGGAATCAACGTCAACGCTTCCATGATGTGTCTCCTTTGTGCGATGAAAATTTAAAGAAAAACATAATGGAATAATGATCAGGGCCGGATTTACCTACTTGCCGCCCATGGGCCGCTTGTATTTTGCCGCCCCCTTCTCATTCGTTTTGAAACATCGATAAAAACCATCAAATGAACGTGCCAGCGGGGGAGGGATGCATAAGACGCGTTTACTCGTGTTGAACACATTTTTTGGGAAAGCTCTGTCAACACTACTAGCAAAAGTTCACAGAACTTTGCGCGAAAGTTAAGTTTCGTAAACCTTTTGTTGTGTGGACAAGGCCTTCCATTCATAAGAAACGAACATTAATGATTTTAACATCCGCCGCCGCGCCGCACTTGGCGCAATGCGTGAAGTATTCCGTCAGTCTTGTAGGCGCTATGCGTTTCACGCCGCCCGCTGCTGAGCGCACTGTCTTTGACGCAATGTTTGACTCTCGTTTGTACTTTTTTTTTTCTACAAAACCCCTAGAGATCCCAAACCGAGTCAAGTTGACCCGACTATCTCTTTTGAGGGTCATCAAACTGTTTCTCTATTAATTAATTTTATACTTAGCGGATGAGATGGGTAAAAAAGCGCCAGTATGTTACTAAATAGATGCTTTATAAAAAATCGTATTTCTTACTGATAAATGTAGAAAAAAAAATTGATTATACCTAAAAAACAAAGAATATCAATCTACTTAAACACAGGTCAATTTGACCCGACTGAACTTAGCGCCTAAAAAAAGTCTTGGGCATCTAATGGTTATTAAGTCCAAGTATCCTTTCACCTTAGGTCTATCCTAAATCGACAGTAAAATCAATTTTCTTAGATTGGACTTTAAGATTTGCCCAAAAGATTCCCCGCCATGGATTGGGGGGGGGGGGGGGGGGGGCGCTAGTTCCCGGCCTTGGGTTTTTTTACCCATAGGTTGAAGGAAAAGGTCCGCGCACTGTTACGCACTGCCCTGCTTATATTTTTATTCGAATTTTAACAGTAATAATAAGCGCTTCGGTGCTACGCACCTATTTGGCAACACCTTAAAGCTGAAAAGATGAAAAGTTCCGTACGGGTGTAAAAGTTGTACATTGTTGTACACACATACAAATAGACACAAATTAATCGACTCATCCACAAGCACGGTAATTTTTGCTTGTGGAGATTGCATCAACTGGTCGAGGATTACTCCGCGTGAAGGTAGCTGTAACGACGAAAATAGTTCAAGTTTGTCAGTGAGTTTTTCTCCATACCTGCAATTATAAAATGAGATTAACGTCAACGTCATACAAAAATTGAGTATTTTCTCTATATTACGTGCGAGTAAGGACATGGGTTGCTTCATTAACAAATTGCTTCCCACATTTATCTCTCTGATTCATACAGCGGAAGAATACGAGAACGCGAGATGACATCATAGGCTGTAGGACTACTTTCCCATCCGGCCTTAGTTGCTGAAGTGATCGGTCGTCCGGTGGTAGTGATTTCAGAGTTTGTGATTTATTTTAATTCTAGAATCTAGATTAAGTTTTCAAAATGAGCTGGCAGGATTACGTGGATAAACAATTGTTAGCTTCAAAATGTGTAACAAAAGCTGCAATTGCAGGACACGACGGAAATGTTTGGGCGAAATCCGACGGTTTTGAAGTAAGTGACTTCAACCTCCATTACCGAGTCTCATGCTCCATGCCGACTCTCTTGTTCATGTTGCTTTTTTCCAAGTTTTAAGTGTTAAATTTTCATCCTTTCAAACGTAAACTTCGTCCTTACCCGTGGTTTGTGCTAGTTTTCATAGCTTCATGGCTCCGAATTTCTTTTTGGACAGAGGTTCTCAACCGGCGGTGTCTGTGCGGCCCTAGTTCGTGATAATGATAGTGGTCGTTTCTCGTGGCTATATCAACCCTTTGTCATCCTCCCACGGATTTTTCACGTCTATTACTCCTGGTTTTTTCCTCTTGATTTTGTTTTTTGACGGCTCTACTCGCGAAAATTGAATTTTCCGAAATTTTTTTCACACCAGTAGGTAGCGGCCTAGGTCCACTTGCTCCTGGCATGAATGTTCATTTTGTTTCCTTTTTGCCTTTAACCAGTCCGGTCTCGCTTTATTTTATTTTTTTTCGTATTATGTTGCGGCGACGTTCTATGAATCGGCGAATTCGCAGCCCACAGGCTTTATCAGGAGAGTTCACAAAGCGAGAGACGTATAACCCTCCTCGGTAGAGTGGAAATAAGTGGATATCGTAGGCATCAGAATTCCCTCTAATAAACTCCAACTCTTTTCCTCTATTTTAAAAAATGTGTGCTTTTTTGTAGTGTTGTATAATTCGCTGCTCTTCGTTGCCCCCTTGACTAACACAGGCTCGTTGAAAGATTGGTTAGAAGTGTAATATTTCTATGAGGAGGTGTCAGTGTTGAATTTATTGCTCTCACTGCAGTTGTTACTCTGAGAGGCCCCAAAAATGCTTATTTTTATCAATTTTTTTGACTGTCTAGTACATGAGAGCAATACGACCCCACAGTAGATACCTTAAAATGTGTGCAAAGACACTGAATGGTGTTTAGGCCCATCAGTCTCCGCTCTTGAAGCCTGCATGGTATAACTTCCAATAAAGCTTTTAAACGGATGTTGATTGCTCCTCTCTCAAAATTTAATGTGTCTCACTCAACTTGACGTACTTTGATGTACATTGATACCACCAATACAAATCTGTCTAGACCCGCTCTGCTGACACTACTTAAGTACCTACCATGAATAAGTGGGCGCCAGTATTTCGAAAGCAGCAGATACGATTAATTTTTAATGTATCCAGTGAGAATTCAAACTTATCACTCTTAAAATCTAAATTTTGATGTTTTGATGATCAGTGATTTCTCGTAATTGGCTGAGTTCTTTCTCCATTAACTTCAACCGGTAATAATGTATCCCCTCAGTATTCAATGCAGCATTATGTGTATAAATACCTTGACATGATAGAAAATGCTACTCAAGATGGGATAAATAAACTGTAGGAATTAATATCATTAGCCCTCCAAAAAATGAAAAAATTAAAACCATCTGATGTTTGTTGAAACATACACATACATAAACACACACCTGCCTTATCTTTAAATTGTATGCTGCTAAGTAAATTAAGGATTATAATAATAATGATCATTCAATTTTCTAATAGAATTTTCTTTCAAAATTTTCAATGCCAAGCTGTAGGTATCCTCATTTCTCATTTGAAGCCGAAAGGGGTCTTCTAAGGGGGAATAAACGCGACCCACCTAAAAACTCCAAGAAAGGGCAATATTATCCTCAAGTAACAAGAAAATTGAAGATGCAAAGACACATTGCTCCCGTGCAAGTTTGTGAATGATCTCAAGAACCCTGGACTAGGGCTCTCTCATCTGAAGTGACTCGGTATAAATTAACCCAGCAATGTCCAAGAAATCGCTGTATTTTGATAATTACTAGCTTGAATTCCCTTTGTAAAGTGGTACCTCATTGCTCCCAATCACTTCCAGGCTCAATTTATTTTTTAAAACTAATCAGAGCTAATTCATGAAGCCTTAAAGTATTGCACATTAGTGTGATTAAAAGAATGAGTACAATATTTCAAGAGTTATTCCCTGCAAAAATTGTCTAGTTCGTAAGGCATATTGTCTGAGAACAAGAGTTTGTTCACAGCATCCGTTCCCTTTCTCTGAATTAGGAATTGTTCTTCTCAGTGTTGTTTTTTTCCCCCAATTGCCTGTGATTAGTCTCTATACCTTTGGCGCAGATGTGCCATCCAAGTCATCAGTTGTTGCAATACTCCCAAATTTAATTGAAGTGAAACATCAAATCATTGTCAAAATGTAGGAGTGAACAAGGAAAAGAACCTACAGGTTGCATTACATCCTATCATAGATGAATTATTTACACCCAATTAATTCCACTAATGAAATTATTTCATTGAAGTTGTTTTGCTCAGAAAATATTGGATGAAATTTCACCACTTAATATATACAGTATGTTAGGGCTTAGCTTTAGTGTCTAGGGTGAACAGCCGTTGTCAATCATGTTCACATCAACCCTCACCAATGGTGCCAGAGGTAACACTGTTGCGTATTCTGCTGAAGTAAAATGAAGTTGAAATGGTAGATTTCTCTGCTTTTCTTTGTTAAGTCTCATTGGAAGTTGTTGGTAAAAAAATAGATCTTTTGCTCGCCAATGTGTGAAGGTTAACCGCTGATAAAAGCAGATGTCCCTTGCAATCAAAGCCGTGTGGTCCTTGTTCCAACATTCAACCAGTGATAAGAATTCTCATCTGTCACATCAACTTTTTCTCCTTTTTTCGGAAACTTTTCTGTGTAACTGAAAATTGAGGCTCTGGGTGCAGGAATAAGACTTTTGACATTTATTGGTTGTGGTATTTAAGAATTTTCATTGTATTATCTTTCGGAGATTAACCCCGATGAATGATGGGTGGTTTTTCTGAAATTTTTCACTCTGAACGTAATCAAATCATTGCTTGATGATTAAAGTTCAATGACTTATGTACGCACTTATGCTTACCTCACAAGGGATTAAGTAATAGTGAAGATCCCTTGATACTAACAAAAAAGTGCCTGTATTGCGTACCAGAGCTTAAAGTGGACTGTACGGCTTAATCTACTAATTTTCTCAAATAGATTAATCTTTGTCCTTTTTTCTTCCATTTCAAAATGAGAAACGTTATGAATACTACATTGATAATAATCAGGAAGAAAGTTGGTAAAAAATAACTCTTTAAATAATAATTTAAAATGTGTATAAATAAATCTTTCAGTTAAATCCCCCCCCCCCTTTGCTTATTTTCATTTGCATAAAACTGGAGAAAGAAAAGAAGAGCCAAGTGACAAATGTTACATCGACCTGAATTCATCAATAATCAGTTGGCCCAGTGGTTACCGCATAATTTTATGTTGGTGGGGTCATTTTCTTATGTGACTTTTGTCTCTATTTCTTATCCCCAGCTCTATTCGGCTCTAGTCATTAGGGAATTGTTTTGGTTTTTCTTCGTGAGTGTTTCATTCCCTCATATCATGGCCTCGTTTTATAAACCTTTCTTTTTCTATCGCACCTTCAATATCTACTCATGCTATTCTTGCTAAATGTTATCCTACCCGTCAACTTATTTTACATTGCATTAATGAAGAGAGGATCTATTAAAACCTCCTCAGAACTTTCATTTTCTTGTGCCATAACCTGTTCTCCTCATTTCACAGTCATTTGATCTTTCGATTCTTGACTTAGCCTGAATTCTCTTGAAAATGATAAGCACTTGCGAAAATATTACCTTATCACTCAATGAGAGATAAAGCGGGGAGTTTTTTTCTGTATGTTGTGCATTGTATGGTGCTTATCAGAACTCTGCAGAGTCATTGCCAGCTTTCCCTGATAAACGTAGTCAGCCCAATTTTATGTCAACCCATTACTCTTGGCTCTCTATCTTGCGTAGTCAGTTTTGAATGTTGCAAAAAAAAAAAAAACCTTGTGGTACTCTGATTTTTTTTTTTTCTAGGTATCTTCTAATTATGTTCTAGTATCTTGTCACACTATCAAATTATATATCAATGGCCTTAGCGCGATACCATGTATCTCCATTGCAGTGTTTCAAAATTTCTGTTTTTTTTTTCTTTCATTTTTTGAAAATAAACAAGTCAATTTCATAGTTTAAAATGTGAACAGAATATTCTACCAAACGAGAGGAAAAATCAGGGAAGTTTTCAAGACATCACATTGACTTGACTAGTTTTCCAAAGAAAGAAACAAAGTGTGACGGGAAGTCTGTAATGTCATAAACGGAGATATGTGGTTTTGCACTTATGGCATCGTTATGGAGACATCTCCATCTAATGGTTTTATAGTTAACAGTTAACAGTTTTATTATGCCCATCTGACCGGAGATATTAATTTTGCCATCCTCCCAGGATTATATACACCTCTAAGTAGGATTTCTTCAAGGAGATCAAACGTTTATTATTGTTGTTGGGATTGATTATTCATAATATTATTGGTTGACTATTGATGATATTATTAGTTGATGGTCACAGAACTTGTATTGTCACCTGTTTTAATTTTTCTCGCTGTGATCTCCGTCCTCTGCTATCATATTACTTAACTTGCGAGATCCATCTTGCCCCAAAGGTTGCCAATTTTTGTTTTTGAGAGAAGCTCAAGTTTGCCAACTGTGCCTGAGATTTGTTCTACTTAATTCCATCCGTGTTCTTCAAGCTTTCTCTAAATTTTGCCCTTTTCTTTTCCAGATTTCAAAAGAAGAACTTGCAAAATTACTGCAAGGATTCGATAAACAAGATCTGCTCACATCTTCCGGAGTTTTCCTCGGAGGCAACAGATATATTTACCTATCTGGTACAGACAAAGTAATACGGGCTAAACTTGGCAAAGTAGGAGTTCACTGCATGAAAACACACCAAGGTATGTAATTATACTGTGATTCATTAATCACTTAATTATGATAATTTAAGATAATGGTATCGAGTTTAACGATCACCTTCATCTCAAATTACATGTGTAATGCACTTTTCTGTTGCATTCTGGCAACTTCCCCCATCCCCCCAAAGAGATATTGTCAATTTGTCAGCATTTTTCCACTGGTTCCATATCGGTCGAATCACTGAAGTAGAATACTATGACCTGCACAACCAGTAATATGTCTCTAATTGTAATCAAAAGGGACACAAAATAGTTAACACCCCGAGTTAGCCAACCAGTACAATTCAAGCGATGTGACAGACTAACCATTTTCCCCATTTTTTGAACACAACACCCCCTATATTCCCCCTACTCTCTAGTAGAGCTTCCATTTGTCTCTTATTGAACCTGAAAGTAAAGCTGATAAAAGACTCCCCCCCCCCCCCCCATTTGATTTCTGATCTAGCCATTACTTTTTAGCTTTACAAGATTTAATAATTAAGAAAGTAAAAATCCTTCAGACAGTCCAGCAGATGAAGTAGATTTCCCATTTTTTCTAAAAATAAATTGCATTGCTTCAATTTCACATTTTATGTGTGTGGGATTGCATGTGCACAAACTAGCTAGGTTCTCTTATCAATGAGGGTATGTCTTACCTTGTCAGGCATTAGAGAACTGAAAAGAGTAGGTGCAGTAGCCCCAGAGTCTTGACATACTTCCTGACTGATACGCAAACCAGTCTGACTAGTAATAATATATTTAAAGATGATAACATCTCATCTTCAGTGGTAGTTACATGTTCTCTCTTAACCACTCAAGACATCTCAATAATAATGAGTATTTTCCAATTTAATTGCACTTGTCAAATGCATCTTCTATCTTGCTCCAGTATGGAGGCTTTTGTCGAGTTATGAATTTCTCTTGGCTGGAAGGATTTTTTTAAATTTTAATGCTACAACTTTCTACCTAAGTCGCCATTTTGATGGTTAAACCACTTTTAAAAGTTGTACAACTAAGCGAATCTGCCGTAATGCCGTGCTGTGGACATTCCTTGTATGTTAAAATTAAAGATAGTTTCTGCTTTCCAGTGGAGTAGAATTAATACAATCTTGTCTTATGGTGACCCGAGATGCATTTAATTTTCAGTATTGCACTTTCCCATTGTGAGATCTTTTAGGGCTGAAAAGTAATTGTGGAGATAAAGAAGTCTCCCACTATTATATATACAAAAAAAAAAAAAAAATTATTTGGGTAATTTTATTTTCCTCCTGTTAAATTTTGCTCTTGAGCAGAACTTTCATGATTTATAATTTTTACATTATTTTGTTACAGCTGTTGTTGTTTCAATATATGAAGATCCCATTCAACCTCAGCAAGCAGCGTCTGTGGTCGAGAAGTTAGGAGATTACCTTATTTCATGTGGTTTTTAATAGTGTAAGTATGATTATGAGAAGTTAACGATATTAAATTCACTGCCAACCCATCATTTGCCATTAAGTTAGCATAGTTTTTAGAAAGATTGACTTTGGAAAAGCAATTTATCTCAGTTTTAAGACTAAGATGATGATGATTACATTGCCTGTATTGTCAATTGCATTCATTCTAATGAGTTTTGAATGTAAATTGATGAACATGAAGAGATGCAAGAATGGCGTAGTACCATCTTGTGAAGCAGGACTCAGGGTAATTAAGTGAACAATGAGCAAATGTAAAAAATTTCAAGTGCAACCCAAAGTGTAGCTTTTTCCTATCTCCCTCCTCTCCCTGTTAAATTATCATTTCAATAAGGAACTGGCCAATTATTTGATGTTTTTTTCTCTCTTCGTGGAACTTGCCATCAGGCACTTTGATTAGTAGGTTACTACTGCAATTTTCAAACTGATGATCGCCGTGATTCTCGCATATTCTATTTATAACCTGAGTTTACTGACTAGTTAAATGATGCGGAGTAAAAGAAAAATTGCTCTAAGTGGCTCACTCTGGTTCCTCTCTCTGAAGGCTCACCTCATTGCTACAATGAGGCTTTAAGTTTTGATACATCATGAAACACATTAAGTTTAACCTTTTCAATGAAGCCAGCTTTGATAGTGTAGTGCTGAAGTCTGTTTGCTGCCAGCACTGAGGTCCCAGGAGTAATGTCCATTGTTCAAGAGTTTTTAAGGACATATAAAAATCTGTCATTTTTGCTGTGCGTGGCCATGTCGCTCTAATATTTTGTACCACACAACATGGTCTAGCAGTAGCAATCAATTCACACTCTGAGACTGTTTTGTAATTATTTTGTTGATACGTGGCAGTATGCATGATTGCCAGTATCACTGTTGAGTGGGAAAAACAAGAGAACAAACAACAGGGTCCAACTCCGTGAGCGTAGGTTGTGCTGCGCAACTCTGCGCAGGATAACGGCTGTTGATGCCGTTAATATAACCTTCTTTGAATGCTGAACCCTATGGAAAAAAGTGATGTTTATTATAAGATTTCGCTCAGAATACATGATGCAGGGTTTCCGGGGACAAGTGAGGGAAAGTCCAGAAGTTGCTGGAGTAGTGTGTGGGCTCAGCAACTTCAGGCAGTGCCATAAGAGAGAGCACGGACACTTTCCAAGTGCCTTTTTATTTATTTAGGTTAGGTTTTCCCTCAGTCTCTCTCGGCAAATTTGATTGCCAGCCACCAAGAAAAACAGCTTGCAGACTCAATGAATTTGAAAAAGCATGTTAAAGACGATGCAGGTTGAGCGTTTCGCAGTCGATTTCAGACTTTTTTGCTGTAGGAACTCACTGTGACTGTTGATTTTATCTAATGAAAGTCCATTCACTTAGTTGTGTTTCTTGCGTGTAACAGGTCTATTAACTACATTGATGGTGAAATTGTAGGTATGCGTGTATTGGTTTGCGGTGTTGGATACTTCCTGTTATACTCTATTTTCAACATGGAAAACCACTCAACGTCATTTATTGAAAACTTCAAAGATTTTTCCTCTCTATGTGAAAAATATTGTGAAAATTTTAAGCTGTTATGTTGGTTTGATGTCCCTTTGAAAAATAAAGTGGGAGCGGAGATTTTCAAACACAGCATCCGAGATACGTATTCTTGCAGTTTCACCCTCGATATTCTATTTAAATTAAGTTCATTGGTCGAGTTTATTCGATAAATGTTCTCTTCCCCTTTTTTATCAGTTCTCTATTCTATCTTTGCTCACCTCCTAATAAATGTTTCATTTTTTTATTTTTTAGGTGAATTGGCTGTTTGGGTCTGGTGGTGAGAACTCAAAAGCAAAAAAACAAAAAGAAAATCATCGTTATGGAAAACTTAAAGTGTGCTCCCACTCAATAACAAAGAACTATTATTGCATTTTTAAATTTTTTTAAATTTATTTTTAATACTTTGTCAGTGAAATGACTCGTGATAGTGTGAGTTCTTTGCTATACACTTTGTTATATTCATCTGTCTTTTTCTCATTTTGAATTATTATTTATTTTCCCTCCCCTTTAATTTATTTTTCTTTCTCTCCTTGAAATCCCCTAATTTTCTGCTTTCCCCTCCATTTTTTCTTTTTTTTCTGAATAATGATTTTATACATAAATTATAAATAAATGTCCTAGGTTTCAAAATGTAAAATATTTTTTAATATAACTGTATTTTTTATTATTTATTTATTAATTTATTTGTTTTTGTTTCATTTCGTTTTCTCATTTCATTACATCTCTCCGCTCAGATATCTGGGTATACGCTAGTGGAGGTTTACTCAAAGAGTATTTAATTCTTAATCAGCAAATAACTCACAATTTTCTCTTCATTTATTTATTTATTTTTTTTTCAACCATTGTCAGGTATTTTGTATTTCTCTCAGCAACATTTCTCTTCTATCCACAATGCAGATCAACGAGATATTAAAAATATTTCTAAGCTCAAAATCTAGCAACCCCTCACTTTGCCCATCAGTTTTTCTCCTCTGTAGGGATAAATACCATGAGAAGTCAGTGAGGGCGTCTTTCAATTCAAAAAGTTAGAAAGAATAACATGTGTCAAAGCAAAAAATTCAAAACTAAACTCTAGTCCCGTGCACTTAATCTCACCACCCAAAATGCATCAAAATATCTTGCGCCCTTTTTTACTCATATTTTTATCATTATTTATTGTGTAAATTCTTTTGTACTTCATGATCTAAGAACTACTTCAAGGCTGCCTCAGTGTAACCGCATACGATCGTTTTTTATCTTGATGTTTCATGCGTGAATGTGATCCTAAATTTGCCGCACTATCAAATTTCCTTTTTTTTCACTCAAGAAATTACCACTCCCTAAATTTTCACAGTATTTCTGCCTAAATTCTATTTATCGGGAGGAAATTGAAAGCAGTTTTATCGTATGACTTGCATTTGTACATTTTTCTTACTATTTTCCATTCTTTTATTTGAATTAAGTGTAACTTTTCATTCAATCATGATCAGAAATTCCAGTATGCAATGCTGTAAACTTTCGCGGTTATCGAAGAATCTACAATAAAAGCCGTGCAAACCATTGTTACTCACTATCAAATATTAACTAATTTTAATTAACCTCTTCCCTTTTCAATAATATTTTGCTGTTATTGTCTAATAAATTTTGAGAAATTGTATGATTGTTACTTATTCGTTTTGAATTCGAATATAAAGTAGAGAAGCTCCGTTTTGTGTTCCGAAATGCTGGACATGCTAAACTCTCAGTTTGCAAGCAGACTTGCTTGTGAATTAGTTTTGAATTCGCTATGTGTGATCATTTATTATTACCCATTTTCTTGAATACTCAATAACTGTAGGGAAAAGTGAGAGAAATAATTAAATCAACTTGCTGTTTCTTCTTTGAAGTATCAACAGAACATGATTTAATATTTTTATAATGTTATTATTTATTTATTTTTTAATGAACTTAATATTTTGATGTCTTTTTTGTGCCAACATCTACATCAAACTACAGTCCCCCTCTCTTTCGTTTATTATTTTTTTTCAATTTATTTATTTATTTATTTTTTTTTTACCGAATCAGGAGCATCAAACGATCAGCTGAAATTTAAAATCATCAAAAATTTTCATCTTCAACTACATTTTTTAATTTATTTATCAGTTCATTTATTTATTTCTTTATTTTTTCAATTCTAGTGTAAATTGCAGAAGAAGTGAAGTTTCCTTTACAGTTTTTGTACTGATATCTTCATTGGGCACATTTTTTATATTGAATGTACATTTATACTTTTTTTTACAAAAGCGTTATCCTATCCTCTTAATTGTGTCAGAAACTCTGCTTTGTTTGTATTTCTCCTCTTAGGAGCTCAGCTTTACCTGTAATGAAAAAAAAAAAGAAAAAAATTAATTATAAGATGCATTTACATAGATAAAGTTGTTACATACACTTCCTTCTCTTTACTTTATTTTTATGTTTATTTTACTTTGGTCCGTCTTAAATCATGAAAAAACAGTGGAGGAAAAAATTATCATCCATGAATCACTGTTCCTCTGTCAGAGGCCTTAAACAGAATACTAAGTACGAATTTCATCAATGCAGCTCAATCCTGCTTTATTTAGTGTCGAGTGAAATTCATTAGACCTCCTTGGAAACATTCTAGTATAAATTAACCTGAGCGTATTTCCCTTGCATTAATTGGTAGAATTTTTCCTTTTCAAGCAGTGCTCATATCCGAACAGGTGCTGTGAGCCAAAAGCGTCTAAATATTGGATAGACCTTGGGGTTAAAGTCAACAAATACCAGTCTTCTGCCTTCCCCCTACTATTTTAGAAGCCACTTTGGCCAGAAAATCCAATTTTTAGGAGCCAAATTATCTTTTTGCGTACAGTCTGCTGTATCTTTTCATAACTGTCCTGTTTTCTAATCTTCTCAGGCTGTGCTGCAATGGTTCAGCCCTCCCACCCCAAATTCTTCGGGCACCATGACGGCTCAGCTCCCATTTTTAAGCACATAGTACCCGGGTAAGGCAGAACACTGATGACTGTAATATATACATTGTTTGAGTCAATGTCTTAAAAACTTTAAACTTCACTGAACAACTTAAAAATCATTTAACACTCAACTTCAACTTAAAAATTTTCCAGCCTCAAGGGTCCATTTATTATTGTGCTAGACACAGTATCTCTTCTCTGCTAAATGCTTCATTCAAAGCTTTCGTCATTAATTTTCACGTAAGTGTCTAATTTAGTGCATGAATAATGGAACTTGACTTCCAAAGGGGATTGGCCTCTGAAAATTCCCTAATGCAACGTAAAGATTTGATATCCTAACAATAATAGATTTTGAATTTTCCTATGAAGTATGAGCAGTGCTTGCCAACTTAAACTGGTGAACTCCCTTTGAAATTTAATAAAATCAAACGCATGCAATCATCGTGCAACCCAAGGTTAAACCTTGTTATGAGAACAGTTTCTCAGTGGTCACTAAAAATCAATGGATCTTGCGCAATTTCAGCAAAAAATTTTCACCTCTGAAGTTGTAATTTGGTCAAAATTCAGCAAATTTAAATCTATCTGTGAAAAACACCCTTTGGGGAGAAAATGTTTTGTCCTATTCATTATGCATTAGAAAATGTACTTCTGATGGTCATTGTATCAGGAACCAAAAAATCATGTTTCCCCACTCAGTGAGGAAAAACATCGAGATTTGTCTCTAAGTCAACAACTTCTCGTGAAGGCTCCAGCAATTTGAGGAGACCATCCCTTGAATTTTCTTTTCGGAGTTTCCATTCTCGTATTTTGATCATCCAACGTCAAGAAAAGTAAAAGCATATCTGATGGGTGAATTAGTGACGTTTCATGCCCACAGAGGCATGTTTCATGCGTCAACTCCTCAACTCTCCTTCAATTTACCCAATAGGCAATTTATCTTACGCCGCGCCGTTCTGTAGAAACGGACGCCAGGCGCTAAGCTACGCAAGTGCCTGGGCCGAATGAACGAACTAATTCTTTTTGCCACGAAAATTTTGCTCATCTATGGATGAAAAGCAGAAAACGAGGGTTAGAAATAGAAGTGTCCATTTTGAAGACCTTTGCAAAGCCTTAAATTTTTTTGGAAGTGCCAAACAGTCCTTGATTTCAGTTTTGACAAGCTGCATGAACTCTACTTGTGGAATTTCTCCCTTCGGAGTGATAGGTAACCCAAAATGGACCCTTTTGAAGGCAGGAAAGAATTTTCCACTTTTCCTGCCCATGGATTACACATCATTTTCAAACACATCGCTGTCTTTGTAACATCAACTAATTCCATTTCCACTGTGTTAATCTACCAAACTAAGTGACTACCTACACCTACACTCACTCTGTGAAGAATTTTGGTATATCAAAATCATTTGCACACTAACGAAGCACGATTCCAAACTTTTCTTTTTTCCAATGAAACGTTGTTCAATTAAAGTGAACCCCCTACATTTTCTGTTAGGTTGATGTCAAGATGGTTAGGCAAAAATTGCTATAAATTATCATATATACTAAAAATATTTGGCCACAGTTATCCTAGTGCAAAGCAGCAGGAAAGGAAAAATTCAATGGCAACATGAAGTGGACTTAAAATTGCAACATCAGAAATCGGAGTTGAGGTAAATAATTTTGAGAACTTTCATTCAAAGTCCCTTTTTCCTGATTTCGTCACATGTGAGTATTGCAAGCGTTGCTTTGAATCGTTAAATGTTTCCTTCCTGCCAGAGAAGAAATACATACGGTGCCTAATATGGAAAGAGAGGCCTCTTAATTATTCGCACAAATGTCATAAGAATAATTTTTTGTAGCTGAATCGTTACATATTTCTTTTTTTATGAAAGCAAGGGTCTCAAGGGGGGGGGGGGGAGGCTGTACCATTCACAGCACCCTCAGCAATATTCGTCTCTAATTGAATGTGTGATATGCAGTAACATCATGAAACCTCTCAGCTATGACTGATTCTGTGGTCTGTCATTTCTCCTTGGGAGTAAACAGTTACGATGTAGATCTGAAGGTAAGTACCTAAATATTTCTTTAACCACTCCATTCTCTTCATTATCTCTTTTATCTCAAAAAAAGGGTATCACAAGTAGTGCAATCATCAGTTTCATTTCATTCTGACTACAAGGATAAGTAAAAGTATATCTGAGTTCGTGATAAATACTAGTGGTCTATGCACCGAAAAGAATAACTTCCTAAATTTCCTTCAATTCTGCTAGTAGGCAACTTATCCTACGCCGCGCCGTTCAGAGACGAAACGCGGCGCTCCAACCGCCGTTTTACGGTGTATAATGCCGTCTTTGCCCGTCACCCTTATTCTGCGATTAGGAAGAGTTGTAAGTTTAAGGGTTGCTGCCTTGCTATAAAAAAACGCCATGTGAACCTTCCACTGTTGCAAAATTTCCTTTTATAATACACGGAATTTCGGAAAAATGTGTCTGAACTGTACGGATAGTTTCGATTAAGCGACTTCAACGAAAGAATAGAAAAAACAACTAAAAATGGAAATGAGTAAGCAAGGGATCTAATACAACAATTGATATTTAAATTTTTTTATCAGACCACTTGCCGAGTTGCTTCTCCTCTAATATCCAGTGCAGGTTGTTCGCAATTTCATCTCAAGCATATCTGAAACTTACAATAAAATAATTTATAATTTTACTCAAAATTACGTCCTTTTTCGAGAGGCCTATTGCGACACTCGAATGTTCATATGACGCTTTTATTAGCGCATAGCGTGGCTAAGCGTGTCTCTCAATTTATTGACAATCAATTGAATGTGACAAGTAGGTTTTCAGGCCACGTATAAACTTCCGGAATACAGCCAACAGGGTGATACAACTTAATTAACTCCGGTGTGGGGTCGGGTTGTGTCGCTTAACTTGAAGGCGAACTAGTAGCGGACGACAGAAAGTAAATTGTGCGAATTCGCATCTCCCTACCCATGAGGTATCGCGGTTTCACATACAGTCCAGTGGCGTGGCGTGCTTTGCGATTTATCGATTGTTATGCCATTTAAACCTATAGAAAAGGATCGATAAACAGGGTGTTCGCAGCGAACACCTTAATAATCGATTCTTTACGACAGGTTTAAATGGCAGAACAATCGATACATCGCAATTCACGCCACGCCACCGATACAGTCTGCACAGGGACGGATCTAAAGGGGGCGGGGGGCGATCGCCCCAGAGTATCCACTACAAGATAATTTTTGTTTTCATCATTTAGTAAGTAAGAGCTGCAAAAGAGTTGCTTACCTTAATAATGGTTTTTTTCTTATTAACCTCTCAAGTTTCATAGGCGACCAAGCCCCCCCCCCCCCCCNGGAAATGATACAGCCTCGCATATGCTTGGGAAAAGGGAGACCCCACTTTAGGTTCGCCTTGGGTCTCCCCACCACCCTGAACCTCGCTGATTCTTCATTTCACAATGAGTGGGTACTAAAATGTAATAAAACTAATGCAAACTTGTACATTAACTTGCACTATCGTCGAGTAGGTATAACTGTTAGCCACTAGTTCTGGCCCATTTCAGAAACGACATACATGGCATTGGTTTCCCTATGCAGATATGTGCTTTTATGGGAGAGCAGGATATAGTTATCCCTCATTGCAAAATATAATCCAACTGGTTGAAATTGTACCTTAGAATTCAACTAAAGAGATCTGCTCCATTTCCTTTTCGTGAGTTTAAAACGAAAATAATTCATTATGTGTGACTGAAGAAGGCCAAGTCTTCGAAAATGTGGGATTCAAGTTTTATGGATTAATCAGGTTGATTTCTTGTCAATCTTTTAGGTATAATATGTGTAATTGTTACAGGATGCTCACCAACTCACTTTTTGACTTTAGTAGTCCACGATCCGTCAAGTAAGTAAAGACCTTTGACTTATTAAGCTCACAATCAGTTAAAGTTGACCTACGGCTCGGTAGAGCGCAGACTTAATTAAGTTTCGATACCTAAATTCTGAACGCACGTTTCTCGGAAAAAGACGTCTCAAAGTATCTTGTGTGAGTTATTTTTGAAACACAAATTATCCCTTTAATCTTTAGGAAATATCTTAAATTGTCCTAAATTTTCCTAAAACCTGCCAAGATCATGTATCTCTTAGACGTTGCAAGGCGTAATATTTTCTAATATTTTCTTAGAAAAAGTAAAATATTGATCGAGTTTTTGAAATGCTGCGATTGAATCATGTGTTCTCGGAGTTAAGTCATCGATTTGCATTAATACGCGCGTCATTGTGTCAAAAGCTCCTCATGAACTCGAGAGAGCGCCTTCAATATGTGAAGTAGGCAATTTTTGCTATGAGCAGGTTAAGTTGCAAACATCGTTTTTGAAGGAGCTCTGAGTGAGTTTGAGCTTCGAGAACCTGCTGTAGTTGTAGGATGCATGCTACGATTTTGTCTTCTTCAAAAAGTTAATTTCCTGATGCATATACAAAAAGATAAAAGCAAGGGGACTCACTTTTGGGATAATCATGAAAAGCAGCGAAGATAAGAAGAAATTTATATTTTTCTTGGTTATACAAATAAAAAAAAACAGTCCTTGTATGAATGTGAGATTTCACACTTCACTTCCATAAGTGGCTGGTCACAAGAAAAACTGACCGAAATAAATTGGTCATGGACGTCAAAATAAATAAAACATCACAGGGGTGTCATAATACTTTATTTTTGCAAGTATTAGAAGCCCATTTAGACAGAGTTTTTATGTTTACAGGCATTATTCGTGGAAAATTTTAACTCTTCCTCAACTGACTTTCAGTTCTTCTTTAAGAGCAAGCTTAAGGCAAAATAATATTTAAAGTGCCAGCAGTTACTTCTTCATAGTTCAATCAAACTTTTGCTCCGATTTCCCTGTTTGATACAAGCTCTTAGACCTCAAAGACGGCTTTCGTGTCGATCTCCTTAGAAAATAAAATATGCGAGAATGAATGATAGGAAAATATACTGAGAGTTGCAAATTTTTTACGATAGAATTAATTCACGGGTCAGGGAGGCACGCGTAAAATCGCTATTTTTATGAGTGAGCAAATTGATGGTGGCCAAAGGCGGGTGAAAATTACTGATTATACATTTCACGGAGTATGCCTTGTGGCTGATACCCTACGGAAAGTAATTACAAGTATTTTTTTGTGGTAGAAACCAGAAATACTTGTAACACTATGACACAAAAACGACAATAAATTAGACGATGAGTGACACTGGTTGGCTCCTCATCACTAATTATGAGATTTGGGTTTTTTAAAAATCGATTTTTTCGTCAGATCCATTCGTTATCCGATGATCTTTTCCATTGACCATAGGCTCATTGTTATTTAATACGATCATTGCCTGTTCAGAAATTTCACTCCAAGCGAATTCAATATCTTTTCTCTCGGTCAGTTGACTGTTGATGCAGAATCTTATGATGAGTTTATTTTGAGCAGTTGCGATAACCGTGAATATTTTCCTTCGCGCCATGAGACGATCATACAGCATTTTTGTAACATCATCCTCGCCCTGAAAAAAGGAGAAGAAAATACTTTTGAGTAAGTAAGCACAGAAAAAAAAAAGAAAAAGGAAAACTCTCTTGAGAATTTAGGTATATACATTACAAAAAGATTTAGAAAACTTTTTGAAAATTACGAATGAAACAGACAATATCGGTACTTAAATGCAAAAATATTGTAAAACTACTGGTATGCTAAATTCTGCAGTATTCAAATGTTATGAACTCTTAAGTAATCTTTTGAATATAAAAATAGAGGCATTTTTAAAATACTATAAAACGAACTGTTATTCAGTTTTCAAAATTGTTTTAAACTAGCTTTGTAGTATTATGAGACTCATATTAATATCAGTATCAGTAATGGATCTTTTCTTTAATTGACGCGCCATTTGATGAGAAAATCAAACGAAAATGTAACTTACGGTCAGTGGCGTGGCGTGAAGGATCGATTATCGATATATCGCCGTTTGAAGCTATGGTAAAGAATCGATTACTGAGGTGTTCGCTGCGAATGCCCTGATAATCGATCTTTTTTCAGAGGTTTGAATGGCGAATCAATCGATATATCGCAAAGCATGCCACGCCACTGCTTACGGTCTTTACTTACTTTTAACCTGAAACAGACGAGGCCCATTCTAGGTGGCACGGAGAGCTCGAACCTTGGATCATTCTTCACTTTCTCGCTGAATTGAAGAGCAAGATCGATTTGTTTCCGCAAGAAAGCTTGAAGCCCATCAACACCATACACTCGCAGAGTGATCCAAACTTTGAGAGCGCGGAATCTCCTTCCGAGAGCGATTTGCCAATGCTGCAAGAAAAAAGTCATTCAGTATTTCAACTTTCGGCTATTGTTTTACCCACGCGTTGAAGTTCCTTCAACTCGTTAAATAGTCGAGTAAAAGTGAGTTCAAAGCTGAAAGTCAGAGAAGGATTAAGTAGCCCCCCCCCTTCAATAAAACAATTTCGTGGAACGTTGACTTCCTTTCGTATGCCTCTTCCTCTCCCATTCCCTCTCTCAAAATTTTAGTGACGCACAAAGAAAAAAATATTGAAAGCAATTTCGAGGAGTGATGGCGCAAATTAAGATCAAATATTTTTTCTAAATAGTTTGAAAAGGTCTAAGTAGTTGGTAGCTTAGAATGCAGCCAGCCTAGAAAATGCCTATGAGCTCTCTGCTGCTGCAGAATTTGGATCCAAGAATTTAAAAGTAGAAAGATCTCAGAAGAGAGTGTATTGTGTCCACTTTTAAATCGCACTAGAAATCAGCGCTACAGGTATTGATTGTGAGAGGAGGAAATGTATATTATTCCCCGTAGCAGCGCTGTGACGCTTACATCCTACAATATAAAATTGTCTCCATGTTGTGGTTGGCTACGTCAATTTAACAGTAAAAGATCGCAGGCTACTGATGGTTCCTGGGACGAAAACATTATCCTTCGACAATAAAACGTTTCGCCATGTGAGCTGTAACCTACTAATTTGTCAACTTTGATCATTGATATTATAATATTAAACCAGACAACTAATTATGATAATCTCACATATGTGAGTGTATCTTTAGTAAGTCTTTTGCTGAGTAATAATTAATTAATTGAATTACAAATCTAATGGTGTGGAAAAATTTAAAGGCGCGCGCGTAACCTGGTGGATTAGTTTCGAACTACACTCGGTTCTCAGTCGCTCCCTCCCTCCCCTACTCATCCGCGGCGCGGACTCCGTCGCCACGCTGTCTAGCGACTGGCGAGCTAAGTTTCTTTGAACCACGCCGCGCCGCCTCTTCGCAGAATCAGCTGATAGCGCCTAGCGCCTGGCGCCTTCTCTCAGTGCTTTCTTCTTCTTCTTCCTAACTTGACCCACTGCCTCGAGTAAACAAAAGGACCACCCACGCTGAGCTCACGAAATTAGTACTCATCCATTTGACACTTCCCTTGGTGCAATTGTGACGTATGATATATTATTTCCGAGTAGTTTTTAACGGAGAACTCGAATCTGAACTCAGATTTTGAGTTTTGCAAACTTTTAACTCTGTAATTTATATCATCTAAGTTGAACGACGTCACGGGGAGGTCTGTGATCTTGTTCTTCTTTGTTTTTATTTTTATTGTCGTTTTTTTTTTACTTTTTTAACAAATAAAACCTATCGGTCAGGTAAGTTTTGACTTAATTACTTTTCCAAGCACTAGCTACCTCTAAATATAGTCATACATATTAGTATTATGTTTATGCGATTGGTTTTATTTTCTTTTAATTTTTTGTTAATTTTTTTTTTTTTTTTGGCTGCGGTGCTTTCTACATATAGTCTACCGGTCAAAAAACGCAACGCGCCGGGAGCGGTGGCAGGGGAGGAGATCTCCGCTTTTATGCAGTAGTGAAGAAAATAAGTACATCTTCTCTGTGCATAAAAAAAAATAAAACAAACAAAAAAGAAAAATTAAACACGATTCCTTTACCATATAGTCGGGAGCTTTAGGGTTTTGTCCTTGCCGCTGATGCTTCAGGTAAATCCTGTCAACACTTAAAGATTGAACTAGATGCGAGGAGTCTTTCACCCTGAAAATGAATTTAAGAGAAAAATTAATTATGCAATCCTACAACTTTTTTTGTTATAACAGCCTTGTTTTTCAGAAATTTCTCACCCAAGATAGATTATAGAAAACAAATCTAACAATTTTAAAATTGTGAAACTATTTTGAAGCGTGTACTCTTATAAGAAATCTATTCTCAGTCTACCCAATATTTTCTGTAAATGCAGCAAGAAGTATATACATTGTTCGGGAGTGACCGTGCGTAACGCTCTAGGGGGAGAAAGGGTTTGACCCTGCGTTACGCTGTGTTACAAGGGAGAGGGGGTCAAAAATGCAGAAAAACTACGTTACGTAATTTATGAACGCTCTCCCTAAGGATCTTGCGGAGGGAACATTTTGTAATTTTTAGGGGGAGGGTTGGCACAGCGTTATGGATGAATTTCAGAAGAATGGAGATTGTTAAAAATCTGCCACTAAAGAATGGAGAAATGGCTCTTAAACTAGTATTGACATGTTTGAAATGATGACATTTTATTACAAGGACTTTCGGAGAAACTCACCACATTGCTGAGCAATCAAAATTTACCAATAGCCATTTATGGAGATTAAAATCGAAGGAATCCGCATATTTTAGTCCTGCCGCTAAATGTTTGTACTCTGGAAGCATCAGCGCAGCTCCTGAGGAATAAACAATCCACCCAAAATTATTGAAGCATATGTGGTTTGCTAAATAGAGCGGTTGCTAATGGATCGTTTTTTGAAAATTTTAGATCCCTAAATTTACTTACTTGAGGAATTTTTGGAATCTTCAAAAAATCTCTTGCAAAAGTAAATTTTTTCTTAGTGGTTCGCTTTGAAGGGCACATTTTCTTATTACTCGTGTGTTTTACAATGTTTCCATTTCCTTCTCAATCTCAAGTCATTCTCCATAAATTTTGATCGGAAAAACCAGCATTCAATTGGACTACATTTTGCAATTCGGAGCCAGAGCTCAGTTTAGAAACAACGTACCTTTAGCCTCCATTTGTATATACGTGTTTTTATGGATGAGTCAGAAATTTTAGTTCTTAACTGCAAAATGTAGTCCAATTAGTTCTCCTCTATCAGACTGTGAATCGGCAGGTCAGATCAGCCGCTATTTTCAATTGATCTAAGTTACCCCTTACCCCAATCCTAGATTGGAAGAAAAATGCGCTGCTTTACCATTTGGTACGTCAAAAATGTGGCTGAAAATCTCTAGATGTTTGCTTGACTGCCCTTCTGTTTCAATTTGCATTCCCAGGATTTAAAGTTAACTTCAGAAGCAGTCTCGCCAACATCTTTAGAGATCACCGGACACATATTTGAATTTGACATCCAGGATGCTTTCTTAGCACTTTTTGGGGGGTACAATTTCTGTGGATAACCAATTACATCGTCTCAGGTGTAAGGGGAATGCATCTACAAACCAAAGCTGCAACTTTATTTTTCTAAAATTTTCAGACATTTAGCAGATAATTTGGAAATGCATCTGAAGAAATTTATACACCCACCTGCGTATGCTGCATCTACGTGCAACCATATGTCAAATTTGTTACAGACAGGTCCAATTGATTCCAAATCATCTATACTACAAGTTCCGGTTGAACCAAACGCCGCTACTACCTGTAAAATCGATCAAAAATCCACTCGCATAATAAATATAATTCTATCCTCCCTGCTCATGGTGACATGAAACGGAAGAAACTTGTTATAAGGATTGGAAATTCTATTGAAAAATTTCATGAAATTTCAGACGGCTGTATATTATAAAAATATGAAATATTCATTTCAGAGGTGGAGTATATAATTCGCACCACTAAGAACCAAATATTGCAAAAAAAAATCCCCTCTTATTTCATTTAGCTCTGGATTATTATTTCACAGACAAATTACGAGTGATAATAATAGGAAGCTGAAGCTTTAAAACGACATTGAAGGAAATTTGAAAGTAGAAAGAATACAAAATTTGCATCAATGCTTACGAAGCATGGTATGAGGCCATTCGCTATATCAACTTCAACAGCTTCCTGTAAAGTATCAGCGGCAAGCTCGCCTTTTTCATTCGAAGGCAGTATTCTTATCGGCATGGATCCAACTAGCCCGGCTTTTTCTACACTCGAATTAGCTTGATCTGTAAAATTTGGAAATATGAGAAGTTAACACGTTTCATTGTTTTGAATCATATGAGATTGAGACCGTCCACGAGAAACGGGATCTTAACAGAGCAAAACTTCGAAATTGAGTTGTTGGTATCCGAACACGAAAAAGGGCTCTACAAACATTTTGGGACAGAAAACGCCAAAAAGTGCGAAGCTCAACAAGAGCTACAACAATTTGATTTGTTATGTTCGATGTTATGATCATTACGATCATAACGTAGATTCGAGAAAAAGCTTTTAAAAATCTTATTTGACATGCATGTAATGCATGTTCAGGGTACAAAATTGTCGAATTAACGTGCAAATTCACGCCTTTTATTACCACAGAAATGACCTGAACTGCTTGCGATTTGTTTTTTAGGATATCAAAAACAGTTTTTCATCGAAATTTTAGAATCCGATTTTTCCACCCAAATCGACAAAAATTGGTTTAGCGAGAATTTCGTCCTTGGTAAAATAAGAATGCTTTTTTCGTAAACGCTTGCTGATTTGAACACAAAAGGAGAATACAAAGCCATATATTTAATCGTTGTATAATTATGTCCTGAACAAATCAGGAATATTTCAATCATACCATACGCGGAAACTAATGTTGCTTATGAGAAAGGCAAGATACAAGAAAAAAGGAACTGGAGCGAGGAAATTGAGGAGACTGGGAGGTGGGCAGAGGAGGTTGGAGGCAAAGACATGCTACTGCGACCTAAAAATCAATACAAAAATTCTACGATTTGGACACAGCAAAATTCTCTCTAGATGAAAATCAGTTCTAAAAGTTTAGAGGGATGTTTCAGATTAGGATTTTTGTTCAACTCAACATGCAAATGTGTGCATTATTACATTCTTTATAGAACTTGAGAGTTACATACCTGAGGTATATCCAACAAGTTTCGCCCTAATATCGTTTTCATTACTATTTATAGTATTTTGACATATTTTCCTAATAGTCCGACCTTTTGCTGCTAAGAGTGCAATGACTGTTGCCTCGCTTGCTGAGCCCTAGGACAAAAAAAAATTAAAAATTTTTTATAATAAAATTCTAAAAATGTCGCGATTAGTTTTGTGTGAAACTTCGTGCTTGGTAAAATGGTAACTTATTACAGCTGAACTCCGATGTATATAATTTACCTTCAAATCGCAGGATAGGCAAACACTGCGCCGTTAAGCGCAAAAAATGTATGCCATATTGACTGGGTGTTGAAATAAGCTACGGTTAGATGCGTCCACTAGTTGCCCTTTTTGCTCTATTAGTTGCATGCATTTGGCATTCGAGTAAAATAAAAAAAAAAACAACAAAGAAATAAAGAAATAAAAAAATGAAGAAGGAGACAGTAAATCATTGAAGGATGCGCAATATTTTAATGCGTAAGGTATAGTGATCTGGGCTCATTGAGTAAGAAGGTAAGATGGTTCGGAGTGTTAGTGCAATTCATTTTGACACGAAGTTACTGTCTATTCAAGCCCTTCACAATGTAAATTTCCGCGGCCATTCTCGGGTTTTTTCATGAAGATTCTTCAAACGTCTAATGCGATGTTGTTTTGCAGACAAACTAAAAGCTTTGCAAATATTTCAACTATCTTAATGACTTCTGATAGTTACACCTTCGCAATAACTCACATTCAAATATGTGTTGTAACACATTAAACCTGGAACATACCTGGATGACTCCTCCCCCTCTGCCACCCTCCGAGAAAAGAAAATCCTCGGGAAGATTGAGTAATTTACCCAACCAGTTCATCATTGCAACTTCTAATTCGGTGCAAACTGGGCTTGTAATCTGGAAAAATCACAAATTCAATTTTAATATTTAGAATTAGAAATATTATCCGTGATTGTAATATTACTTATCATATTGCAGATCAAAATTTTCCTTTACATCAATTAAATATATAGGTTAATTTAAATGAGTGCGCCCATTGTATCCTTCTTTATTTCTTGAAAACTTATACCTATTCTAGGTCACCAAAGTGTACATAGAACAGGATTTTAATTTTTGGCTTTCAAACTTTTTCATCTCCTCGTATTTGAATCTGAATGTTGAAATGACGTCATTCAACTGGAGAAAATGACATTATAATCTAAACTTTTGATTCATTTCCCATTTAATTTTAGTTGGCCTAGAAAAAAAATCTGTGTAAGGAATACTTACCCACGAAAAGCCAAGATTTCCAAAACCAGCGGCTAACATTTCTCCTATAATACTGGGGTAAGAACTAGCGGCTGGGTAATATGCGTGACATCTGGGAGATTGCCAATGAGTCATCTGTTAAAAGAATAAATAAAAAGAAGTAATTGTGAAAATTATAAGTTTCTTGCTCCATAATAATGAGACTGTTTTTCAACTTTCTGTCGCTAATCCATAAAGACACTTCTCTGCACAGAGACTCTAATGGCACATACACAATTTTAAAATAAACCAGAAATAGTAGTTCCTCGTGGCAAAATGTTGTTGAATACTAACAGTTGTCTTTAGCTAAATAATCATATCTTTAAACAATTTCTTTGACTACCCCTCGCATTTTGAACGCGATGCTGTTTTATTTTAAAGAGTTCATCTCTGTTAGCTGTGCGTTCAATCAGGTTCGGTAAGTATGTAGAAATAANGGGGGGGGGGGGGGGAGGGCTTTTGAACGTCAGCAAACAGATATGTTTTTTCGGCTGGAAGGTAATAAAATACTGTGGTGATTTAAGAGTTACTACACTGCCTGCCTATTTGCCTTAAATTCAGCGCTGATGTTGAACATAAATTTTGACTTACTCCTGGCATGATTGTCTTCTCTACATCTGCCAGAACGTCCTCCCATTTGTCACCCTTGTCTGGAAGCCTATCCGGAATGAGACCGTGTAGATAACCGGGCTCTACATCTGGCAGAACAGACCTGACAGAAAAACAATAAAAATTAAAATAGTCGATATATGGCAAAATTATGATTGTTTAGAAATGATATTATTCTACATTATATTTTCTTTCTGTAGAAAATGTGTGGCAAATATCTACGTTGGATTAATAATCTTGCGATAAAAAATGGTAACTGTTTTGTAAAAAAAACGGCGATCTGCAAGAAATCTGTTGATAAAAATGTCTAAAAACTGCCGGGTTTCTTCAGAGTGAGAGTTGCAAGCGTTGGCAAAATTGCGCAGTCCGAGGATTGGTCGATATTTTTGCCGAATCCTTTAAATAGGCAGCCAGACCACGGACTAGCCGGAAAAAAGTCTAATAATTGCGCCAATGGGGCCGATAGTCAGCTTCAAATTCAACCTGTACGCTAATCGACTAATGTCTCTTACAAATGCTAGACTGACTTGAATGCGGCGCCTTGATGCAACTATTCGTGTTCTACGAATGTGCGTGTTGCCTGTGCAAAAATTGAAGGCGCTCCCGCTTTTCTCACTTCCTCAGCAATGCATGGAACTTTTGAGTTGTACCTAGCAACCGGATATGAGAGAGTTCCCAGGGACAATATTGCCAATTAGTGACAAGAGGCCAGAGCATCCATGGCCAATTATTCGATTACCTATCATATCGACCTACAAATTCTTTCCTAGTTGATTCACTGATGGATGGAATCTACTGAAAAGGTCTAGAGAGACTCAAAACGTCATAGATCTCTCGGTGTGACCCTGACTTAGTACTCTAATGCATCTGCTTAAGCTGAAAACTTCCCCACTCCTTACAGCCTGACACCGATACTTATTAGAGTTTAATTTTATTTATCTAATGAACCTCGTTATCTCGGAGACCAGTGTGGACCCAGCATTATTCTACTACTTTGTTGCACATTAAGGGAAGAGGAGCTTGATATAATTAAGGAAAAAATTGAAGTTCTGAGTTACGCTATTGAAAAATGGTTTTAAGTGCATTTTCTTAAAAGGAACACTCATAATTAGGAACACTGGTGGAAGTCAGGAAAGGTCGAAAACTTAAATGTAAAGGGTCGAGTAGGACAGATTTTTCTGTTGTTAAAAAGCGTTATGAAGTTTTACCTAACCGTGATCATGGTCAACTTGGTAGGGTTGAAATGTAGACTTCAAAACGGATAAAACCGACCCAAACAAGTAATTTGTACTAGAAGTTGCTAAAGTGACAAAAATTACAACTATAAGTGACTTAAATTCTTTCCCCCAAAAATCCTCCTCCGGGATAAGGCCTTGGTCAAATAAATCGCTTTCTCTCTCAAAATAGGGAGAGCTCTTTAACAATCACTGTGCAAAAAGAAGGATCCTTCAATCAATCATATGAATACTCTCGCACAAAAGCAGACAGGGAGATACGAGTATAAGTGTCGCACATTATAGTATTATCTCACTATTGCGTTATACAGTGCATAATTACGGAGTCTCGAGCCGAAATATGGTTTATTTTTAGAATTTGTCTCCTCATTGTCAGAATAATGGCAGTATTGCAAATTATCGCCTGGTCGCGTGCGCAAAATTGCCGAACTATCTTTTTGAAAGTGACTGCGCAGAAATTATCGTCACCCCCTGTGAATAGCTGAGAGGAAATTATCTTGCACTGCGTGAAGACTGGAAGAGTGTCTTGAACGAATTCCTTCATTTAATAACCAATTTCACAGACTCAACGGGCTCGCACAACCGAGGAACATGCATGCGCTGTAATTCGGTTCCGGTATACATAGTTGTCCAACGGTTGCCAAACATCAAATCTCAAATTGTTATAATGCGACACGTGTCGTAACAAGTTCCGATAGCGTTTTATTTTTATTCAAAAGACTATATTATACGTTCTAACCCTTTTGTTTGTCAGTGACGCAAGCTCAGTGGCTTTTGAGCGGCCAAAAACCGACATGGCAAAACTAACTGAGCAGAGACAAGAATTTCATCACATGAATCTTCACAACGTCACCGAATGAAAAACGATCAGCCTGATCAATCACAGTTTCGATTCACTCGTTTAAGAGGGTTCAAAATGAGCCCTTGAAAATTAGACGGTGAAGTTCATACTGCCTTCAAAGGAACTACGCAACATGCACAATAAAGCTAAAGATGCAAAACTATCAAGAATATTGTTGTAAGGGCCAAACGAAGAAACACCACTCGAACTTTCGTACAACAATGATTGATCAAATGGACTGCATTTTGCAATTTGGAGCTATAAATTCTGGCTCACTCGAAAAAACACTTATGTGCATAGGGAAACTAATGGCACATACCTACGTTGTTTTTAAACCGAGTCGGAATTTATAGTTCCTAATTGCAAAATGTGATCCAAATGTCTTTGACTAATGCGCTAGAAAATCCGAACTGTGTGCTTGAGGACATTTATTGTATAAGATTTTAATTAATAGAAAACCTAAGACAGTTTTTTACGAAGAGCGCCGAAAGTTAATGAAAGTTAACTTTATTTTGTTTATCTGTAAGCTCACCGACTGCATAAATTTTCATTTCGTTCCATAAGAATTCGTTCTACTGTTTTACTGGGATAATTTTTATGATATTTGCAGCTATCGACGAGTGAAGGTCCCTGGATGAGCCTGCTTCATTTACATTAACTCATGCATGAGGACCCTCAAAGATGTCCTTAGAAGGCGCTTCGCGCCCTTTGTGGCATGGGACGCGTATAGCGGCTAGGGGGCGTGACATCCTGATATTTTTATATTCTCAATTTCAATTTGGTGTATTGATTTGACATCTAGGATAAATGGGTCAACGAGAAAGTCAGATGTTTTGCTGCAATGCTATCTACACTAGCAACGCGTGTTCCTCCTGACCACCTCCACCTCCTGACGCGATGTCTGATCGCAAATAAGCACTACAAAATTTTCTCCCTATATTAGTAAGTATGCTCATTCATGGCCCTCTTAAAATAAAATAAAAAAAATTGATTCGTAAAGTTTTTGTATTTTTTAAAACATTTTAATGGCGGTTTTTTTAAATGGAATTTTTATATTTTTTAAAAATTGTAATGACGATTTTTTGTAACAGAATAGGTTCAAGGTGTGCTGCTGATCAGCTCCTTGAAAAATGATCTTAATTCTTAGTTGGCCGGTTGATCAAAAATATTAGACCAATGTACCAAATTGAAGCTGAAAACCTAAGGATCAAAATATTTGTTTATTGCTTTCAGCATTCTTTGCTTTCGAGAACAAAATAAGGAAATTTCGAAATAATCTGCTGATACAGCAAAAGGTGAACATGCGGCGATGGTATGTTAGTAGGTAGATTTAAGTTCTCTAGCGAATCCCTGGGTTTATTTTCAAAGTCTTTGGCTTGCTTTAAAGCTGAGAGTAAGTCTGGTACGATCATTGACCACCGACCTGATATTTTGTTGTTGTTTAGTAGGTGAGAAAAAGGGAGACTTACTTAGTGTATGATCGCTTTTTTATGTGGCTTATTCATGGGATGCTTACCTGTCTCTAACATTATCCAGATAATCTGCAATGAGATCCACGGCCGCTTTCCCGAACTCTCTGAACTGCGCAGAATCCATCTCTGGTCCTTGTTAGATGCGGAATGAACTGGACAAACACATCATAAAAGAATATTAGTATGAGGTTATGATGTCACGAAATCAAAAAATTGTCAAAAAATAGAATTTTCAAGTTGCAATGAAATTATTATCACATTTGAAATAAGACGGTTGGTCAGATCTAAAACTGTCATCGAACTTTCAAGTTGGAGTGTAATTATAATAACATTTCAAATAAGACGGTGGGTCGGATCTGAAACTATCATTCTACTTTACCTTCCTTTCTCCGTGGAATTATTATTATTACTTTACAGCCTCGCTAGTAATCTACTGATTCACAGGAGAACTTCATTTCCTTGTATAATGAGTGTAGGTTGTGTCGAATGTTACTTGCCTAAGTGTCCAAGTAGAGTGCTCTCCCACAACTCCCTAGAAACTACCCCACACAGACCCACGGCCACCAAACTCACATACTCCCCTGACGAAAATCCTCAATGAACAAATTGAAAGAATTCATAAAAATTCGAAAATTTAAAATTTTGGAAAATCCCTGTGTCAAATTCATCCTTAAGGTGTCACGAATCTGACAAAACAAACCGGATGAAAAAAGACCGAGTAGACTCTGAGAAAAAAAAATTGAAGTTGGATAAATGAACATGGGCTCGCATAGGAAGTCCGACTCTCCTAACGCATTTCGGGGTGGCTATGAAAAAATCAAAATCTCGAAAAAAAACTACTCACACACTATTGATATGAAAAATTCGAAGTCGGCGAATCAGTTTCCCGGATCGGGAGCGGTCAATCCGCGAATCACTCAGCGAAGAACTCGGCGTGATCGACGGGGCAACACGTGTCGTCGGGATGGAAAGCGAAAGGAAAAGCGGCGCGCCGCGACGTCTGAGGAAAAGAGGCGACCACTAATTGGCTGCCATTGTCAAGGTGCGTCGCGACGCTCCCACCACCGCATTGCCACCGCGCGCCGCGTCGCGAATCCGCGAATCCCGCGCCTCCAAATTGGTGGGGGTCCCCGGACACACGCTGCGGACATACCGCTAGGTGCGTAACCCTGTCACACGCCGGGAAAACGCCATATCAACATCCAGGCGTTGCAAAATTTCCCCGGTTACGAAACGAATTTCCTGAAAAACTTGAGGATACACTTATTGGCGGATCCAGAAAATGGAGATGCTGCATGTGTGAGGGATTTGCGATTTGACCATTGATTCTTATGTAAACGTTCGCGAGAAACACGATAGTGCCACTGGTATTCTCTGAAATCATCCTCCAAGCTCAAAAAAAGCTCTCAAAGTGAGGCCAAAATGGAGGGGATATCCCACCCAACCCGGAGAGTCCACCTCTGCATCAAAACGAACTCTCCATGCAAAAATAGGGAGCAAATACATTAGCAGGGTTGCCACTTTATTTGGGGACTCCAAAACTGAAAACACGGCAACCCTGCTAATGTATTTGCTCTCTATCTTTGCATGGAGAGTTTGTCTTGATGTAGAGGTGGACTCTCAGGGTAGGGTGGGATATCCCCTCCATTTTGGCCTCACTCTGAGAGCTATTTTTGAGCTTGGAAGATGATTGCAGAGAAAACCAGTGGCACTATCGTGTTTCTCGCGAATTTGTACATAAGAATCAATGGTCAAATCGCAAATCCTTCACCCATGCAACATCTCCATAGGCAACATTGTCTTTTTAACATTTAAACCTATGGAAATGTATCGATTCTTTAAGGGGCCCGGTGCTCGGTAAGAATCGATTATTTAGCATAGATTTAAATGGAGGCAATCCGGCGTTGCCAAATTGCTGGATCCGTCTCTGGTGAAAAATCGAAGAGTGAAATGGAGAGCTCTTGCAAGTGTGTGAGGGATTTGTGATTCAAAATCTTTCTTTCGCGTGAAATTTTCATGAGAAACTCGATGGTGCCACTGGTTTTCAGTGAAAAGAACTCCAAAACTTCAAAAAGCTTTCAAAAATTGGAACCTTAATGACTCACGCTATCCTGAAAGTCCACCTCTAATGTATATTAATGCAAAGATAGGGAGCAAATACGTTAGCAGCGTTGCCATGCTTTCAGTTTTGGAGTCCCCGAACAAAGTGGCAATCCTGTTAATGTATTTGCTCCCTACCTTTGCAAGGAGAGTTTGACTTGATATAGAGTCCAAATTTCTGTCACAAGAGCTCCATTCGATGCCGGAGTCTGTATAGCGCCCAAAACGGAGTGACATGAACGCGAAGTCGAATTAGCACCATAAAAATACTTGCCACTCTGCAAAAAAGAGTAGATTTCGCCTCGTAACACTGAGGGTCATTACGTGAAGAGTGTTTTGTTTTTTCAGAGGCGGATCAAGCGGTTTGGCAACACTAAATTTTCTCTTCTTAAACTTGAATTGAATAATCGATTCCTATTCAAGGGCTTAACTTTGCTGGATCCGACAATGGTGTATTAGAACTTCCCTTAGTCACAATGTACACCATATGGCAGGGCCGGATTTAAGGGGTGGCCACATGGGCTGCGGCCCATGGCAGCAATTTTTGAAATTTTTTTGGAATGTGTTATGAAAGAAAAGCGGGCTCAGAAAAAAAATTACAAACGAGAAAAGGTGACAAAATCTCTCATTTCTTGAGGGTATGGTAATTTCTAATTTTGTCGTCTTTCAGTGATAGCGGGGACAAGGGACAGCACCATTAATTAGTCGAGTTAAGGGAGAAACCAAACACGCACTTTGGCCTGGAATGGCGCGGCGCAGGGAGCAATGATCACGAGGACTTGAGAAGAAAAGGAGAAACCCTCGGCGCGGCGGTCAGCGTGTAACACATTAGCGCCTACAAGACTGTATGAATACTTCACGCATTGCGTCAAAGACAGTGCGGTCAGCAGCGGTAAGCGGGAAACGCATAGCGCCTACAAGACTGTAGGAATACTTCACGCATTGCGCCAAACACAGTGCGGTCAGCGCGGCGCTAGTTAAAATTATTAAACCACATTTATGTTTGCTCTATCATAATTTTTTCGTTCATTTCTTATAAGTGGAAGGCCTTGTCTACACAGAGATACGTTTACGGAACTTAACTCTCACGCAAAGTTCCGTGAACTTTTGCAAATAGTGTTAACAGGGCTTCGCAAAATATGTGTCCAACACGAGTAAACGCGTCTTATGAACCCCTCCCCCTCCGGCACGTTCACTTGATGGTTTTTATTGATGTTTCAAAACGAATGAGAAGGGGGTGGCAAAACACAGGCGGCTCATGGGCGGCAAGTAGGTAAATCTGGCCCTGCCATATGGTAAAGGTGCTAAAAGACTTCCTAAAAAGAGGTACTAATCAACTATGACATCGCGATCCTAATTTTTGTTTAAAATTGTCAATGAAAATTTTCCAAAATTTTTTTTGCATACCTGAAAATTTCAATGAAAAAAGAGGCGTTTATTGACAGAAATTTGGTACCGTCTGAATGTCCATATGGCGTTTTTCCTCTGCACGAGAGAATTGCGTGAGCATATCGTCGAAGCAAGGGCGATCACGTGCTCTGCTCCTGCTCCGCCATTGACACCGCATATCAAGGATCCATCAGATCATTGCTATTACTTAATCGGTCCGGATAAAGAGCTATGAGTTAATCTGCTGTGCCAAGGAAGAACGCCGTATGAACATTCGAGAGTTGCCAAATTTCCCTCCATAAAATGATTATTTTCAAGGAAAGTTACGAATATTTTTCTTTGAAACTTTCAGGAGCTTTAGGTGAAATTGCTGACAAAACCATCTGAAAAATTGGGAGAAAAATATTCAGAAGTTTACCAGGAGATTTGTGTCTTATCAAAGGAAATTTGGCAACACCTGAAGATTCATATGACGTTTTTCCTTGGCACGGCAGTGATGGTCACGGTCCAGCCCTGCTTCTCGGTTCCTTATTTTGTAACGTATTTAAAATCCAATTCGGTCACCTATTATAAAAACTTACGTGCGGTTAGAGTCCTCGCCAAAAAAGTTTACTCGTTATTCTAGACTGCGACAGAGGATCGAAAAAGTTTACTCTTTTCTAGACTGCGACGGAGGATCGTCTGACGTCACTTTTACATGTAAAGTAAATGCAAGAAGCAAGATGGCGGATCATCTGTCGCAGTCTAAAAGTTCCGAAAATTATTTGGCGTGAACTCTAGTATTGTCGTCTCAATTCATTCAGTATTTAGAGTAAGTGTGCCGCAGTACTGCTCTCTGATTGATCTGCGAGTTTTATGCTTTTGTGGAGCCATTGATGCCCAACATGAACAAACAAGATGATGATCGAGTCCTAGGCGTGATAAGAAGTTGTTTCATTTTAAATTTCTGAGATGACGTCGAAGTAAACTTCGATTGATATTTTAGCCAGGTCCTATAGGTTAATTTCTTCTGTTCAAGATTTTCACGTTCGCCCCTAAAAGTCCCATGAAAGGCATCAGGAAGTGCGACACAGAGCATGGGAATACTCTTCTTTTATAGGTGCACTATATAAATGGTCTTGCAGAATAATTGAATCAAAGTGTGGCCAAAGTCTCTGCATATGGGAAGTTGAGACGTCTTCGGTCCTAACCATTGATGGTTTCAAAAATTACACAGTTCATAAAATTTTTTATAATTTTTGATCAACTCAATCTCTACTTTGTCTCTCATTCTCTCATTTCTTATTTTTTTATTCCTTCTCTCATTTCGTTCGCCTTATTATAACCTTCGTTCCCTGCTTCATTCCAGCGGTTAATTTTTGCAACTTGTGAAAGTGTAAACTTTCTGACCGTTTGCAACTTCGTGGGAGTCAATCAGAGACGGAGAAACGAGAGGTACGCAGAAATTGAGTCTAAATGGCTAAACTGTTCCTACAGAGAATTTTTGGCGTAGCTAGACAGAATATAGCTACTGTATGATGATAGACTAAAGCTTAAGTCTCGACATCTGGGAATAAAATGAGGAAAAAAGCGAGAACCAACTTCATAACATTCAGTGTTTTGATTGTCAATCTTAATGGGAATTAGGAAATTTTTTT